GTATTGCAAGCATGAGAGAGAGAGGCAGGGAGAGGGAGAGGGAGGTAGAAGGTTGTAGGTGAAGAACAGCAAAAAATCCAGTTTGGCTGGCTCAAAGTGTGTGTAAAGAGAAGAAATGTATAAATAAAACTAAAAAGGTAGGCTGGAACCAGGTGAAAATGTCTTAAAGGACAAACAGAGGAGTTTGCATTTGATCCTAGAGGTAATAGGATGCTACTAAAGTTTACTGAGGAAGAGAGTGACATGATGTGGCCTGCACTTCTGAAATGTTACTTTGGCACTTGATTGGGGGATAGATTGGAGAGGGGAAGTAGAGAGACCCACCAGCAAGCTATTGCAACAGTCCAGGTATGAGATGATGAGGGCCTGCACCAGGATAATGGTAGCATCAGAGGAAACAAGGAGAATTTTTTTTTTTTTGCAAAAGCTGTTGTGAATGTAAAATTGATCTGATTGGGCAATGCATTGGAGTGTGGGAGGGGCAGTGTGAGAGACTAAGGAGTCAAGGATTGATACCTACGTTGGGAGTTTGAGAGACTTCCAGGATGGTGGTTTCCTTGACAGTAATAGAGAAGTTAAGGATGAAGGGAAAGGAATTTTTAGGGGGTACATGATGAGTTTAGTTTTGGACATGTTGACTTTGAGCTGTCTATGGGATATCCAGTTCAAAATAAACAATAGTCATCCAAAGATGGGAGACTGGAACTCATGACAGAGACCTGACATTGGATATATAGATTAGAGAATCATCTGCATAGGAATGATCATTGAACTCGAGGGAGCTAATGAGATTACAAAAGGAGTTTGGAGAGACCAAAAAGAGAGAAGAGCCCCCAAGGACAGAGAGCGGGGAGACATTCATAGTGAATGAAGACTGAGCTGAAAAAGGAGAAAGAGAAGGAGCAATTACATTGGTAGGAGGAGAACCAAGATAGAGCAGTGTCATGACAACCAGAGAGGATGGAAATAACCACATGACATGGTCCTGTATGCAGTGTTAGGCGTGCTGAAGCTCGAAGGGTGCAGAGGCTAGTAGGGGAAGGACAAATGAAAAAGATTTGTGTGTGTGTTGTTTTTAACAATATTGGGCAAAAGAGCAGGAAAATATAGCAGTGTCTCTCACCTCACCAGGCCTGTTTCTGGCTTAGTCCCTGCAGCCATCATTGAGGGGACAGGCAGGAGGCAGCATGGGCCAGAGAAGTCAAACCACCACCATGACCTCGGCCACCTTCTCTTCTCAGACAACCCAGACAGGTGAGAGGAGGGAGAGGGATGGTAGTGGAAGGGGAGGCTGGAGGAGAAAAGAGAAGAGTGGTTTGGAATGGCTTCTGCAGGGAGTGAAATAAGGAATCAATTAGGGAAGAACACAAGAACACCTTTGCTTCAGTTGAAGTTGATCACGTAAACTTGTTTATGGACCAAGTCAGCACAGTTGGGTGACTTCCTTTAAGAGTTTCGTTCATTGAAAAAAAAAAAGAGTTTTGTTCATTTGCCCAAGGGGCAATCAAACTGTTCATATCCTTTGGCCCAGCAATACCACTACTAGGTCTGTATCCCAAAGAGATCACAAAAAAGGGAAAAGGACCTATAATATACAAAGATATTTATAATAGCTCTTTTTGTGGTAGCAAGGAATTGGAAATTGAGGGGATGCCCATAAATTATGGAATGGCTGAACAAGTTGTGGTATATGAATGTAGTGGGATACTATTGTGCTATAAGAAAGGATGAGCAGGCGGACTTCAGAAAAACCTGGAAAGACTTACATGAACCAATGCTGAGTGAAATGAGAAGAACCAGGAGAACATTTTACACAGTACAGCCACATTATGCGGTGATGATCAACTATGAATGACTTAGCTCTTCTCAGCAATACAATGATCGAAGACACTTCCAAAGGACTAATGATGGAAAATGCTATTCACATCCAGAGAAAGAACTATGGATTTCTGAATGTAGATGGAAGCATACTATTTTTACTTTGTGTGTGTGTGTGTGTGTGTGTGTGTGTGTGTGTGTTTCTTTATTTTGGCCTGTTTCTTCTTTCACAACATGACTAATATGGAAATATTTTACATGATTTCATATCAAATTGCTTACTGTCTTAGAGAAGGATTAATGAGGAAGGGAAGGAGAGAGAAATTTGGAACTCAAATTTTTTTTAAAAAATGAATGTTAAAATTGTCTTTACATGTAATTGGAAAAAAAGTACTATTTAAAAATAAATTGTAGGGGCAGCTAGGAGGCGCAGTGGATAGAGCACCGGCCCTGAAGTCAGGAGGACCTGAGTTCAAATCCGGCTTCAGACCAAACACTTGACACTTACTAGCTGTGTGACCCTGGGCAAGTCACTTAACCCCAATTGCCTAAAAACATAAAAAACAACAAACAACAAAAATTAAAATAAATTGTAATTGAAAAAAGAAAGAGTTTTGTTCAGTAACACCCAAGTAGGAGAGGTAGAAATGGGAGTGATCTGGGGCGGGGATTTGGCAAAGGGTGAGAGTACTGGGGCAAGAGATTCAAAAGAAGATGACAAGTCGAGTGGGCATCAGAGAAGCAGTAGCGGCAGTAGATGAGGAGCCAGCTCTGTTTGAACTGGCTCAGCAGTGGACTGACTGACCAAGAGCTGAGACACTGACTCTCAGAAGAAACTGGCCCAGATGATCAAGGGAGCAACTCATCCAACAGAATGCCATATCCCAAAGAGAACACGGGGACTCCTCAAAAGAAGAAGCAGGCTCCCAGGGCAAGGAATCTTGAGTCTTCCTGCTATGTGTGCTTCAAGTCTGAGCCTCCTTCCCATAGGGGAGAATGCACCTCCTGGTCTGGGGAAGGGGAGGGTAATTTTATAACTACTTTCCTTACTAAACCTTCTCAGGAAATATCCCTTTGTAAAAGTTAATTGATGTTAACTGGAAAATCAATATGGGGAGAGCATACCAGATGGGGGCTTGTCAGTGATAGGACTGTACCTAAAAACTGAAACCCCTCAGGGTTACTACTAGTACTCTGAAGGAAGAAATAATGAGCTTCCCTGTAGAAACCCAACCTGCCTGAGGCAATTGGGTTGGAAGAGCAAGCCCAGAAGGGGTGGTACATTAATGACTGAGATGAAAGCATAATTACAATGCTTAGAAAATTTTGAGATTACACCAAGAGGTTGGGGTGGAACTCAGAGTGCAAACACACTGGAAGGCAGGGCTGTGATCCCCAAACATCCCAATAGGCTAGAATGCTAGGCTGAATCGATTGAGATGAGATGTAGGACGAATGGCATCTTATGTAGGACGAATGGCATCTTATGTAGGTTTAAAAAAAAAATCAACTTCACACTTGGATGGGAAAGGTGGCGCTAAAGAGCAATGCACCAGACAAGGATCGAGGGTGGCAGTGGACAGCAGCAGAGGGATATGACAGCTGAGAAGGTCAAGGACATCTTGGGCTGCATTCAGATGGGCAGAGATTCCAGGAGGGGGGAGGGGATGGTCCCTCTGTGCTCTGTCCTGGTGAGATCCATCTGAAATAAGTGAAGCTCAGTTCTGACACCTCAGTTTAGGAAGGACATTGATAAAGAGCAGAACCCCAAAAGAGGGAGAGGGGGTGGCTAAACCAGGTCAGTGAAGGGCCTCAAGTTCACACCAAACAAGGATCATTTGAAAGATCTGAGAAGGTTTAGCCTGAAGATAAGACTTTGGGGACAAGTGTCCCTACGGTCCTTTCTTGCCCTGACCCTCAGGCATCAGGGAGCTGTGTATCTGCTAGGGAAAAGGACTGAGGTCTCAGGCCCTTTTCCATGGCTTATCTTGGCCCTCAATGAGCTAATAAACATTTATTAAGCTCCTAATTTGTACCAGGCACACAGTGAAACTACAAAGAAAGGCAAAAGACAGTCCCTGCCCTCAAAGAGCTCGCAGTCTAATGCGGGAGACAACATACAACAGGAAAGAAAGCTAGAGTGGGGGAGAAGGGAGGAGAAGAGAAGGAATGGGGATGGAGGGTACAGGATGTAGAAGTCCAGAGGAAGGCCTGGGCCTTAGTTCTGTAAATGGAGGTTCTGAGAGGAGCTTTCCACCCTCCATTCAAAGGGAAGAGTTCCAGAGTTGAAGCGATCTTGCCTCACCCATTTCTGCTCCCTCCTCACTCAAGCTCTAGGTTTGGGTGAGTATTGTTCTCCTTCCACTCAACCCCCCCCCCCATCATTAAGCCTATTAGCTCTCTCCAGGGCTTGGACCTTTGGGTTAGGAGACTCAGAGTCACAAGAATCACCTGTGTACACATCCAGGCTCTTCTACTAGCTCCTGTTGGGCAGCTGGGTGGCACAGTGGGTAGAGTGCAGGGTCAGAATCCAGAGACCTCTATTCAAATAAGGCCTCAGACATTTACTAGCTGTGTGACCCTGGGCAAGTCACTTAACCCTGTTTGCCTGAGTTTCCTTATCTGTATAACCAGCTGCCGAAGAAAATGGCAAACCACTCCAGTATCCAGTAGTCTTTCTGGACTCAATTTCCTCACTTACAGTTTTATAGATGGGCTCCTAGGCTCCTTCCCAATGCTCCAAAGCATTCTCTGATTCTCTGACCCTTCCTCTCTGACAGCCTTCCTCCCCCACAGTCCTGACCAAACACGCAGGAGGATCCTCTAAAGGAAAGAGGGGAACCCTGGTCAGCTAAATGGAAGGCCAAGGAAGAGGGACCTGGGGGAGTCTCTGCCCTGCCATTGCTGGCCTAGGGACACAGGAAAAGGGCAGTGATTTCTGTCCCCTAGGAAGGAGCCAGAGCAATTTAGGGACAATGTTGGGGAAAAAGCGAAGGTCCCTGGTTTTCTCCCCAAGTGGAAGCTCAGCCTCCTATACTTTGGGAGCCCGACCCCGGGAAGGGCGAAAAGCTGAGAGGAGTAAAGAGAGGGTTGGGGGCGGGAGTTGGGAGAGGAAGGGAGACAAAAGGAAGGAGAGGAAGAAGGTGGAGAAAGAGGAAGGCCGGAGGGATGGAGCAGAAAAGGGAAGTGGCTCCACTCTGGGTGGGCTGGCCTGGGGCTGGTGATGTGGATTGGTGACTGCTCTTCAGCTGCAAGGGCAGGAATACTGAAGGGGAGAGAGACGGACAGGGACATGCGGCGAGGCAAAAGATTCAGTGCCAGCAGAGGATAGAAGAGGCGCGGTGTGGTGAGTGGGACAAGGGCAGCAAGACGAAGGTGGAGCAGGGGACTAGGAAAAGTGAGGAGGGCGGGGCCCATGGCGGAGGGGGAAGCGGAGGAACGGGGAAGAAAGGGGTCCAGGGGCCACAGGGGGGCCAGGACGCCCCTGGCGGAGATGGAGGGGGCAAAGTGACCTCGCAGGGTGCACTGGCTGAGGACACCGAAACTGGGAAGGAGCTGGCACACGTGTAGGCGGGTGAGGGAGGGAGAGAGGGAGGGAGGCTGCTTCAGGGACATCAGGGGAACGAGAAATCCCAGGGAGGAAGCGGCCCCATTAATAAACCCGGAGGCGCAGCGGCGCGGGGGAAATTAATGAGCGCTCGGAAATCGCTGAGCCCTGAACCCGTTTTTTAAATCTGTCCTTAACAAGAAAAATAAAGAAAAGAGACTTGGCCAATTAGGAGGTAATGGAGACATCGCAGAAGCCGCGGTGACAAAAAGCAGGTGAGGGAGCGGGCCGAAAATGGGGGCTCCTCTTCTCCCTCTCCGTCCCCCCACCTCGTCTGACGCTAGGCCGGGCTTCTTAGCAGGTCCAGCTTGGATAGGGCGGGGCGCGCAGCTCCAGGACCCTCAAGGGACTTTCAGTTTAATTCAATGCAAGCAGCATTTATTGAGCTCCGACTGGGTGCCGGCATCCCTATTCGAGAGGCGTACACTTTCTCCTGGAAGGAGGGAAACAACAGGTCCACAGAGAAGTAGATACAAACTAGAAATGGGAATTGGAGAGAGGAGGAGCCCCAGGTGGGGCTCTTTCATCCATTCACGGCACCTGAGCTTGAAGGGAGCTTCTTCCGAGGCACCTGAAGCTCTACCTGCCCCACCCCATCCGGGCCTCACAGGGGCCTCAGCCAGGAGTCCTGCTACCTCTGGGAAATCCAATGGCTAGGACACTAGAATGCCCAAATTTCCATCCTCAGACCCTGGGCAAATCACTTCTCTCCTAGCCTCTGTTTCTTCAGATGCGGGAGTCGGGATCCCTGGCCTCTAAATGAGAAGCATCCAGTTCTGGATCTCTGATCCTGTGAGAAACTCTCCACCTCCGCTGGCAGCCCAGGCTACTCTGGGACAGCTCTCGTGGTTAGGAAGTCCTTCCTGACTCCCCCTCACTGCTCCTGCTTGACCTCTAGTTGTTCAGTCCTGACTCCATTTGGGGTTTTCTTGGCAAAGATACTGGAGTAGTTTGCCATTCTTTCTCCAGCCCATTTTATAGATGAGGAAACTGAGGCAAACAGGGTTAAGTGACTTGCCCAGAGTCACACAGCTAGTACATGTCTGAGGATTTGAACTCCAGATTCCAGGCCCAGCCTTCTATCCACTGTACCACGTAAGTACCCTATTGACCTCTGAGTAGAGGCAGAAAACGGCTCTTCTAGGTAACAAGCCTTCAGATGCTTGAGGACAGGTCTTTTTTTGGCACAGGTCACGTCACTAGAGCACCTTCAACCTCAAGTGGCATGGTCCTCAGATTATCAATACCTTACTGAACTGTAATGCCTGGATCTGAACTGCACCCTCTGGAGGGGCTCTGACCAGGACAGAGAACGGCCAGACAGAAGAGCAAGGAGATAAAAAGCCTGTATTAATAATGGTTGCAGGACATCCCAGAGATCTCAACGTTTTTATCAATGGCTTGGATTGAGGGCATGCTCCTCAAATGTGCAGATAACGCAAAGCTGGGAGGGAGAGTGACCCAGTGGATGCCCGAGTTCAGATTCCAAAAGCTCTGCACAGGCTCTCCTGTAATATATATCTGATCTGTGCCTACTCTGCATGTTCTCTCTCCTATTAGACTGGGAGCTCCTGGTGGACAGGGACTGTTGAGATGTCTTTCTTTGTATCCCCAGCATTTTATGTGGTGCCTAGAGGGCCACATGTGGCCTCTAGGCTGCAGGTTCCCCACCCCTGCTCTAGGCTGGAAAGCCCTCACCCCTCGCTCTCCTCCCTGGGAAGGCTGTTCTGTAATCGGCCAACCCTGTACTTGCTGGGTAATGACATCGATAATGCCATTTGCAGGTGAAAGCACCAGCAGTCCTCAGCTTGGCACAAGGAACACTGACCCGGGTGTTCATCCACCTTAGGCCTGACTCACAAACCCAAATGAGCCATGAGAACAGGACAGTCAAAATTGGGCCACAATCCACATTGTGGAAACCCACCGGAAATCTGACTCCCCAAATCAATTCAAACTGGCTGAGCTATAATAACTCTGTCACCTGGAGTGAAGATTGTCCAAGGGCCTGGCAGCCCAGGGAGTGATAAATAGCGAGGCCCCATGTCTTGTTAGACTGAGGAGGTGCAGAGTGGGGGCCTCTGCACGGATTAGCCCTGGGCCTTATTTATCATCTTCAGGGCTGATCTGGGAGAGAGGGGTTAAGTAGAGAGTTAATGAAATCCGCAGATGATGCTAAATGGAGAGAAGCTGAGAACACCAGCTCTGGGAGAACACAGGGAGGGAGGCAGGCCCCTGAGAAGGGAGATTAATCTGGAGGGAAAGTGCAATCGATCCAGATACAGCCACAGCAGAGGGAAGAGGCTCAACGCTCATGAAAACGGGGGTGGGGTGGAGCCAGGCAGGGAAGGGAGAATGGGGCACATAGCTGAGGTGGAAGTGGGCTGGGAGGGTCTAGGGGCATGATGCCCTCGTCTGACGTTGGTGTGTAGGCAGGCAAACACTCGCTGGGAGCTGGTGCCTAAAGAAGGTACTGAGGCTCAGCTCTTCCAGGCATAGGAGTGGGTCCTATTGTGCCTGGCTTAGCCTTGAAATAGAGATGCCGTCCATCATTGATGCCCACATGGGCATCCCTTGCAGCTACCGGCTCCTCTCCCTTTCCACACTGCAGAATGAGATGTGTTCTCAGCTCCCATGTTACCCCATTGGGGCAGCCTTCCCAGACCCCTGAAGCCCACCTTCTCTCTGCCTCGCTGTCGAGCTCAGAGTGACTTGGTGGTCTGGGTCTCCACTGGGGAGCTCGTTAGGGAGCTTACAGCACTCTTGACTTCTCTGTGACAGAACTGTCATCAAATGATGCAGCTTTCCGTGTTCTGAGTTTGTGTCTCAATCTCCTGCTAGAACAGGCCCTTCTGGAAGCAGAGAGGAACTTGGGCATGATTCCTCTCTCTGTCTCTGTCTCTCTCTGTCTCTGTCTCTCTCTGTCTCTGTCTCTCTCTCTCTGTCTCTGTCTCTCTCTCTGTCTCTCTCTTCTCTCTGTCTCTCTCTTCTGTCTCTCTCTCTGTCTGTCTCTCTCTCTCTCTCTCTCTCTCTCTCTCTCTCTCTCTCTCTCTCTCTCTCTCTCTCTCTCTCTCTCTCTCTCTCTCTCTCTCTCTCTCTCTCTCTCTCTCTCCCCTCCAGCTTTAAATCCATGAGCCTATAACCCTCTGAGGCTGCAGTAAACCTGCCCCCTCCACCCAAGGAAGCAGGCTAGCTGTTTCTGGATGATGCCTGAGGCTCCCTTCTTTGTTCAAAAGTACCTACTGTGCCAGGCATTGCTGGATGCTGCTGATTAAACAAACACAAGAAGGCAACAGTTTCTGCCTTCAATAAGCTTCCATTGTAGTGAGGGGAGACAACAGGAAGGAAGGAAGGAAGGAGGGAGAGAGGGAGGAGCCAGGGCAGGAAACAAGAGAGGAAGGAAGGAAACAAGGGTATAGCCTACTAGGAGCCAGGGCAGTGCTAAGTACTTCACAAATATCATCTCATTTGACCCTTACCCCAGCCCTGTCAGGATTTAGCTGGGGCCTCAAGGAAAGCTTCCTGTAGGAGGCAGGGCTTCAGCTGAGTCTTGCAGGAGACTAGAAATTCTAAGAGGCTGAGGTGAGGAGGAAGAGCATTCCAGGCACAGCCAGTGCAAAGGCCTGGAGATGGGAGATGGAATGTGGTGTTTGAGGAGGAGCAAGAAGGCCAGTGTTGGGGGAGGATCGCAGTGTGAAGAGGAGTGATTGTATATCCAGCGGCTGCCTTATCACCTCTTTAGGAAAGACACTTTGGGGGGCAGCTAGGTGGCACAGTGGATAGAACACTGGCCCTGGATTCAGGAGGACCGGAGTTCAAATCTGGCCTCAGACACATAACACTAACTAGCTGTGTGACCCTGGGCAAGTCACTTAACCCCATTGCCTAGCCAAAAAAAAAAGGAAGGAAAGTCACTTTGGCAGCTGAATGGAGGGAGGGTTGGAGTGGGTAGAGACTAGAGGCAAGGACTTCCCTTCAGATCCAGCAACACTGGGCTCCAGTGTAGCTCTTTGCGCAAGACACTCCATCTTCTAACTGCTCCCATGCCCACCACAGGAATGCTCTCTGTCCTCATTTATACCTCCTAGCTTCCTTCAAATCCCTGCTAAAATTTCACCTTCTGCAAGAAGCCTTTCCCAGTCCTCCTCAATCTTCATGCCTTCCCTTTGTGACTATTATCTCTGGTTTGTCCTATACACATCTTGTTTGTACCTGGTTGTTTCTACATCATCTCTAAGCACTTTGAATGCAGATACGTGTATGTGTGTGTGTGTGCGTGTGCGTGCATGTGTGCCTCCAGCACTTAGTACAGAACCTGGCACATAGTAGGGGCTCAATAAATGCATATGGACTACTGACCAATGATGACACTGTTGCCATAGTCTAGAAGAGTTAATGAAGGGCTGACCCAGAGTGAGCCGGGCAAAAGAGATGAATGCAAGACGCCGTGGAGATCAAAAGTGATACGGCAAATGATTGTATATATGTATATATATAAATATATTGTATATATAAATGGGGTGAAGGCACATGATGGTTTGAGAACGCCTCTGAGATTTGGAGTCTTCGTCGTGGAAAGATGATGATGCCTTTAAAAGTAATGGGAATGGTTTTACATATCTATCTGTATCTATATCTATAATCTATCTATCTATCCATCTACATATTTGTGTTTGACCGCAGTCATCTCGAGGGAGGGAGGGGAGAGGGGAAAAGTTAAAAAACGATTACATATTTAAAAGGAAAAGCAAACTGTACATAATAGATTTACAGTTTCATGTGAGATCCCTTTTTTTCTATTCTACTTTGTTATGGAAATGCTTTTTAAATTTCTTATGTTTGCAATAGAAGAAAAGTGATGAGGAAAAGTTCGGAAGGGTTTTTTTAGGAGGAAAGGTTAGCTTTGGGCATGTTGAGTTTGAGGCCTCCAGGGGACATCCAGAAGAAGTCAGCAGGTAGTTAATTGGTGATGTGGGACTGGAGCTCAGAAGGGAAGCCAAACTTATGTAAATCTCATTTGTATCATTTGATTATATCTGAAATGTGGTGAGTTCACCTGCCCCCCCCCAGTACAGTGAACAGGTGCAATTGGTCCATTTCTTCTTCACCCAGCTTCAAAAAAGGCTTGTCTATAAAACTAAATTTCCATGATGTTCAGTTTGCTTACAAAAAGTGTATAGGTAATCTGACAAAAATAGTAACATAATTACTTAGGGGTTTTTTTTCGCCCCCTTCTGAAATTCTTTTTTGTTTTCTTCTACAGATTTTAAACAATTTTAATGATGCTCCTTTCCCCCCTTGTTTTTCCCCTTTTTCTTTTGATTTCTGACATTTCCTACTAATTCATTCCTCACTCCCTCACCCCACACAGAGTCCTCTCCGAGCCAATAAATACGGTTGAAGAAAACGGATCCGCACAATGGTCACGGCGGAAAATACATGCTTTATTCTGCATTCCCTAATCCACCACTTCTCTGCCAAGAAACAAAAGTACTATCAGACCCCTGAAGGCACAACCTGTCACTCTCCCAATTAAAGTTCTGAATACTTGTGATGTTGTTTTCCTTTACTCCATTATGCAAATTGTTCTCCTGCTCCTGATTGTTTTAATCTGCATCAGTTCATGAATCTTCTCAAGTTTCTCTGATTTTTTTCATGTGTCATTTCTTGGGGTGTGTCCTATTACCCACATGCACCATGGTTTGGGTTTTTCTGACACTCTCCAATGGATGTATCTATATCCCATTTAGCTTTCACAGTGCTTACTGACTCCCATTACGACATTATATTGAAGAAGAGGGTGTGAAGGAGGCTCAGTAGGGTGCATGTTGGCATGCCTATATCTCAGAGGAGCAGATGGGAGATAACTCAGCCGTCATTGTACAGACCAGGCTAGAGCCCAGGGTTTCTGTCTCCTCCTGCAAGATTTGTGTTCCACTGAGGGCCTGTGGTCCAGTGCCCCATGATGTCAGCATCTTTTTCACCCAGTTTTTATAATTGCTTTCTTCAAGGAGCTAAGGTGACTGACTGATTGGAATGTCACCTCTTGCCCTCCCTCTCATGTGTGTTACAGCATAATTCAATATTTGCGACTGATAAATGCTGAGAGGGCATAAAGCCTTAGCTAGGATATGGTGGGGTTAATCAGAACAGACTTCTTAGAGGAGGTGGGTCTTGAAGGAAAGTGTTTCAAAGGAGAGATGACATTTGGGATGGCTTGGGGAGGTAAGAATCATGGAGTCTAGGACTGAGTGGGCTGCACAGTGAGGGAGGCAGGGCAGGTGAGCTGTGGGGACAGAAAGGCAGCAGCCACTACCGACCACTCTGATGAGGATGTTGGCCCCTCTCTAGCATTTTGAGCTAGAGGTAAAAGCAGAGAGAACCTGGCTTCCTTACACCATGGGTCCAGAGTGGAGTGAGATAGGAGAGAAAACAGGTGAGCCCAGTGAAATCTCTGTGCAGCAGATCCAGGAGATCCAGGGAGCCTGGATGGTTTTTCCCATGTGCCTGTGTTTCTGTTCCCCTGTGTTTTGGTTGAGTGAAGGGGGTCTTATGCCCTGGGCTGGTCTGTGAGCCGCCTAGGGTCTTAGGAGCAGTATAACCACAAGGGCTTAATAATGTGTCACCAAGTCAGCAATAGCGTTACCTTTGGTAATGCCTTCTAGCCCTTCTCTGTTCTCCTGGGCAGTCCTCTGGCACCAGAGATTGGCACGGTGGACATCCAAATTCAGTGCCTCACATCAGCATCAATCCTTGCTGGCCCCAGCCAGGTGAGTGTCTGCATTCTCAAGCCCTTTCCTTGCCAGTGACCTACTGAAGCTGGTCCAGCAGAGCTCTGGGGCCTCCCCCATCACAGGTGGTGGGTAGAATCCCTGCCAAAGGTCACGCAGCCAGCAGGCTTCCAGCAGGAGCCGGAATAGGCCTCCACATCCTGACTCTGTCCTCGAGCCCCCAAACAATGCTACCTTGGCTACGGATGTGACTTCGGTATGAAAATATTTCAAGGGGAGAAGCTCTGAGGAGGGGGAAGGGGCTCAGCTGGGGCAAGGGGCAGGGAGGGGGAAGTGGGGGATGTCTAGGAATAATGGGAAGTGACTCAGAGAATGGAAACTTGGGTCAGACCTCAGGAAAGTCTTCCTACTGGGGAGGGCTGGCAGATGTTGAGGAAAGTCCCTGGGGAACAAGGCTGTTCTCCACTGGCCACACCCTGGAGTGTACAAACAATTTGCCTCCCTCCAAGAGCAGGGCACAAGCCAGAGTTCCAGCAGCAGGAGGGCTCCAGTAGACCCTTCCCCTGAGGCTGAGACTCACACACCCCTTCCTGCTCCAGGCCAGAGCTGGCTCTGACAGCCCCCAGTGAAGAGCTCTGCAGCCTGGCTCCTGGCCTCAGCAAGCATCTCTGTCTAAGTCACACTGGGCTTCTCCCTCTTCTTCACATACTTGACTCCAACTCCCCTGGCCTTCTCCAAGGATTCTTCAAACAAGGCTCAACTCCGGCACCATCTTCTCCAAACAGCTTTCCTTATCCCCCACTTTTTTTGTTTCCCCCCCCCCCTGCTTAACAGTATTTTATTTTTTCCAATTACGTGTAAAGATAGTTTTCAACATTCACATTTATAAGATTTTAAGTTCCAAATTTTCTTCTTCCTCTCTCCCCTCTCCCCCCAAGGCAGCATGCAATCTGATACAGGCTATTATATATAGACTTTTATGTTTCTACTTTTTCTCCTAAAATATAAGCTAGGTTCCATGAAGTCAGGGGCTGATTCATTGAGCACAGTGTCTGGAACATAGTAGGCATTTAACAAATGCTTGTCAATTGATTGAATGCATGATCTTTTCACCCTTTGGGGGAGTAAATGGGACCTCTCTGGTTTTTTTTTTTTCTGGAGACATCTAAAAAGCAACAGAGCCAGAAGCTGGGTGGGGGCGGATATGGGCATTAATGGTCACCTTGGGCTTCCCACTCACATGGCTCAAGAAGGGAGCCCCAGTCTTAGCCAGGCCATGGTATAACCTCTGTGGCCAAGAAATGGCAGCTGTGGAGAAGAAGATTAAGGGCCAAGTGGTGGAAGGTTCCTGGGCCCAGCCCCAGAGACAGGCGGGGCACTCCTAAAGTCTACTGAGTGGGTAGCTAGCTGTTCCTGGTTCGACGTTTAGTCTACTTTAATGCAAAACCCTCCCCCTGCTGCCATATTTCAAAGCTCTGAAACTGAGCCCACAAGACCCTCTGATAGTGGATTCCAGGGATCCCAGCTCAGCTCATGCCTAGTCCGTGGGGTGGATCAGGTGATCTCTTTATTATCCCCAGTCCATGTGGAAGCCTCGACTCAAGCTACAGTCTGAAAGAACTCCAGGTCGGGAGGATAGGAAGTAGAGAGAGTGACTTTGGAGAAGCACCCGAGACCACGTAAACCCAAGGCATGGTGTGCTGGGTCACAGGTCTCTTCAGCAATCATCTTTGACCTCTTTCCTGCCAACCAGATTACGAGTTCCATCAGGTCAGGAACTACGCCTTACATAAGATTTGCACATCCCAACCGTGACAAGACCAGTCAAAAGCATAGAAGTTCAAAACCCAGACTGGGCGTCAGAGGTCTTTGTTCCAACCATACAAGACTCTCCGAGTCTTCTTTTTTCCACACTAAATATATAGTACGATCTTGAGACCCTTCCCCATTCTGGCTGCCATCTTTTAGATTTTGTTGTTCAGTTGTGTCTGACTTTTTGTGACCCATTTGGAGTTCTCTTGGCAAAGATACTGGAGTGGTTTACCATTTCCTTCTCCAGGTCAATTTACAGATGAGGAAACTGAGGCAAACAAGTTTAAGTGATTTGTCCAGGGTCACACAGCTGGTAAGTGTCTGAGGACAGATTTGAACTCATGAAGATGAGTGAGACTCCAGTTCCAGCATGCTATCCACTTCAACACCTCACTACCGTATCTTTTGGATACTCTCCCTAAAATATGAAAAGGGGAAGAGAATAAACAGTCCTATAGCACCTGCTATGTACCAAAGCACTGTGTTAAGCACTTTTACAAATATTACCTTATTTGATCCTCACAACAACTCTGGGAGGTAGGTATTATTATTATCATCCCATTTTTTAGCGGAGGAAATTGAGGCAAACAGAGGTTTAACGTCTTACACGAGGTAACGTAGCTGGTAAATATCAAAGGAACGATTTGAACTCAGGTCTTCTTGACGCCAGTCCCAGCGGTCTGTTCATTGCCTCTGCAGCCACCTCTATGCCTCTCTGTACAATCCCCAGAACACAGCACTCCAGATGGGGGCTGATGAAGGCAGAGAAGAGTGAGCCTGTTACCTCCTTATTCTTGCATAAAAAATCTCCTTTCTCTGGCTAGCAGGGGAGTTTCTGGGCTCAGACCGCCCAGGGAATTCCGAATCTGTTGTCTGTAGGATTCTGGGACTCAGGAACACAGCGGGCGACCCCTTCTTGGATGGTTCAGACAAGCGGAGGTCTGTTTGGGCCTCGAGCCTCTGGGGCAGGTCATCCTCAGCCTCTCCTGGGGATCAAGGAAACCAGAGATGAGATTTTTCCTGCTGCTCTTTAGCTCTGAGGCCCCCCACCCCCACCTCACCCCACGCAACTTCATGTTTGCCAGGCACTCTGATACACTCTGGGCTATCTTCTCAGAGGCCCAGGAAGTGAGAAGTCTGGTCTCGTAGACCTGGAGAGGGCCAGATCCTCTGAGTCCTGGCAAGCCACAGTCTTCTTGGAGGACACTGGTGGGCCTGCCTGCTCTCTCTGGGAAGGGGCCTCTCCAGTGCTTCCACACAAAGGCATGTACCCTGTGTCTGTCTGCTTGGGTGGATAGAGGAGCTCACCCAAGGCTCCCCTTCCCATGCACCAGGAAGGGTCAGACTAGCTGCCCCCAAGACCTTTTCATCTGCCACACACCTAGCCTGGCTCCTGGAGAATGGATGAGAAGGGCTTCGAAGGAGGCTATAAAGGTGAGCCGTGAGCCTGGCCCAGGAGCTGGGGCTGGGGAGGCCAAAGGGGAAGAGGGCCAGGCCTACTGAGGAGCAGTCCTTGTGGCTAAGCCTCTGATAAGGGTCACTAAACAGGTCTCCAGGTTGGAGTGGGAGTTGGGGGCTCCCTGGGTCTAGGGTGTCACTGTGGCCCAAGTCTCAGAGATGGGGGTGGGCTGGCTCTCAACCTGGAGCAGGGAGGAGAACTAAGAAGGCCTTGGAGTTCCTTGGGGAGTCTCTAGGAGTTTTCTATCAATGGCACATCGAGTCTTCACTTTACTCTTCTTCACACTCCTAGCCAACCTCCAGGTGCTGTCCCTCTGAGCAGTTGCCCAAGGACAGGACCACATAGCAGTAACGGTGCCCATGCAATGGGGGTGGGGGAGGCCCCAGGGAGACAAAACTCCTCCACCAAGCTCTTCAACAGCTTCTCCTTCCTGTCCACCCGTCCCCAGTGCGTTCTGGGCAGCCACTGGGGGCTAGTCGGGCTAAGAGTGGCGTTCGTTCTCTCCCGGGCCTTCTGACATTGGGGTCTGGGGCCTGGGAGTAGAGGAGCA